ATATATATATATATATATATATATATATATATATATATATATATATATATATATATATATATATATATATATATATATATATATATATATATATATATATATATATATATATATATATATATATATATATATATATATATATATATATATATATATATATATATATATAGTAAGGAAGCCTATCAGTGAAACGAAACTTATAAAATAAAGCTATATTTCGGATCCTAACTGGATCCCTTCTCAAGCACAACTGAGAAAAGATAACAAAAGTGGAGGAAGCGTAAACAAAAGGAATCATCAGATCTGAGGGATTAAATTTTTTTATGATGATAGGGCAGGCCTAATCGAAACTTTTATCATACAAATTTTTAATCCCTCAGATCTCATGTGTCCTTTTGTTTAAGTTTCCTCAACCTTTGTTATTTTTCCTCAGTTGTGCTTGAGAAGGGATACAGTTAGGATTCGAAATATAGCATTGTTTTATAAGTTTTGTTTCACTGATGGGCTTCCTTACTATTTAGTGTTGTATGTTAACAGTTTGTACTTATATATATATATATATATATATATATATATATATATATATATATATATATATATATATATATATATATATATATATATATATATATATATATATATTATATATATATATATATATATATATATATATATATATATATATATATATATATATATATATATATATATATATATATATATATATATATATATATATATATATATATATATATATATATATATATATATATATATATATATATATATATATATATATATACATGAATAATTTTTTACCCTGACCGGGATTTGAACCTAGGACTTATAATTACTAAGTAAAGACGCTACCAACTACGCCACAGAGAGCTAAAAGGAATCCAACCTTATAGCCTATATCTGCTATACTTAGAAATGAATGCATTCTATCTGAATGCCACTATGTTCATATTACAGATACCCCAACCTCACTCATGGCTTTATTTTCGTATTTAATTCAACTCCCAATCTCATTCGGGTCCAACAATAAGCAAATAAGCACATTACATATGTGAAAACATGAATAATTTTTTACCCCAACTGTGACTTGAACCTAGGACTTATAATTACTAAGTAAAGACACTACTGTTTGATGCTCCTTAAATTTGGAGATATTTATAGATGAATGAGGCACAATAATATAGGAGACTGAAAGGGCATTATGAACAGTTCTTGTCTGCCCCCTAGTGGGCATCTTTATTACTTTCTATGTGAACAAAACATGGATGCGTTCATTAACAAAATAACAATTATATCAAATATTGTAACATCCCTCTTTTTATGAAGAAAACAAAATAAGTTATCATCTTGAAAACGAAAAATAAATCACTCTTTGTAAGCAACAAAATAATTATATTTAGAGGATAAAATATTCCTTGTACTCCTTGTGATTCTCCTTTGAGGAGTGAAAGACTCTTGAACTCTGAGATTCTCACTTGTTGGGTTTACATGTTTATCCTGTGGAGTTTCAACCTGTTGCTGACTTTGTACCACATTACTAGAATCTTCACTACTGTGATATGAAACATTTCTTTCATTTGACTTATTAAGGTCTACTCTGTTTCTTCTCAATAAACCAGCATCAGTTGAAATTTCATAAGATCTCTCATCTAAACGTTCCTTCACAATACCTTTTTCCCAAGCTTTCTTTCCCATTACAGTGGGTTTTATTCTCACAACATCATCTTCCTGTAAAGGATCAAGATCTTTGGCATGCACATTGTAATATTTAGCGGACCTGCTATTTCTATAATGTCTGTTAATCTTAATTTTATCTACATTGATCTCAGATGGTTTCAGCAACTTTGAAGAAACTGGGAGAAGAGTACGTGTGCGTCTCCTTAGGCTTTTTTGAGCCGGACTGTATTCATCACTGTGAGACGGATAATTACGGTAGTCTAATATTGCCAAATAAGGGTCACTATTGCTTTCTATGGCTTTTCTGAGTATGGACTTTGCAGCTTTTACAGCGGATTCTGCCTGTCCATTAGACTGAGGATGTTTAGGGCTTGATGTACAATGTTCTATATCCCACACTCTTATAAAATTCTGAAATAAATCACTTGTAAATTGAGTTCCACAGTCAATAACTAAGATGGAAGGAGTAACATACCTTGCAGAATGTGCTTTTAGCTTACGTACAACAGTAGATGCTTTTATATCTTCTAACCTATCAATTTCCCAGAAATTACTGAAATAGTCTACTGTTACAAGATAAAACTGGTTACTCAATTAAAAAATATCTGTGCCAACTTTGTCCCATGGCATATCAGACACTTCATGTGGCATAAGAGTTTCTTTCTGCTGAGATTTTTGAAATTTGCAACAGATTTCACAGTGAGAAATATGTTCTTTAATATCACCATTCATACCAGGCCAATATACACACTTATGAGCCCTTCGTAGACAACTTTCTACGCCAATGTGACAAGAGTGAATAGCCTGTTAAATTTCTTTCCTCAAATTGGCAGGAATCACAACTCTATCACCTTTAAATACAAGTCCATTCTGTATAGATAGTTCATCTCTAATACGATAATAAGGCAAAACAGTTATAGGTACATTACATTTATACTCTGGCCACCCATTTGTTATCATATTTGTCACTTCAAGCAAAATTTCATCACTGACCACTGCATCACGAATTTTCTTTAACCTGTCTTCCCTAATAGGCAAATAAGATATAACATTAACATATTCAAAATCATTACCATTTTCAGTTTCACTAAGAAATGATCGAGACAGCAAATCTGCTATATGCATGTTCTTACCAGCAGCATGCTTAAGTTCAATATCGTATTGTTGTGCAGTCAATAACATACCTTGTAGCCTCTTTGGTGCTCTATCTAATGGTTTCAAGATTATACTCTGAACTGGTTTGTGATCAGTTATAACCTAAGTATGTTGTCCAAAAGTGTACTGATGGAATTTCTTTAAAGCAAACACAATAGCCAGCATTTCTTTCTCTATCTGAGCATACCTTGTTTCCATGTCAGTTAGAGCTCTGCTTGCATAAGACAACGGTCTACCATTTTGCATTAGAACTGCACCAAGTCCACATTTGCTAGCATCACACTGTATAACTAACTGCTTATTTTGATCATAATAAGCAAGAATTGGAGTCTTAGTGATGCAACACTTAATTTTCTCAAAAGCTCTAGCCTGTTCATCACCCCAACACCATTCTTTGTCTTTACGTAATAGTTGTCGTATGGGCACCATCAGGTCAGAGAGTCTAGGCATGAATTTTGACAAATAGTTTATCATTCCACTAAAGCGTTGAACCTCAGTTACATTAGTTGGAGCTTTAATCGATACAATTGCTTCAATTTTACTGGGATCTGGCTTAAGGCCTTCATTAGTTATTACATGTCCAAGAAATGTTATTTCACTCTTTCTTATTTCAGCCTTTTCTCTGTTAAGACGGATACCATGCTTACGACATCTTTCAAGTAAATTCTTTAATTTTTTATCATGATCTAACTGTGCTTCTAGAGAATTACCTATTCCATATACCAAAATGTCATCAGCAATGCAAATTATTCCTAGCAAACCATCTAAAGAGTTCTGCAGTCGTTTCTGAAAAACTTCACTACTTTAGCTTGTGCTAATACAGGTAAAGCATCATCGATAATTGGCAAAGGATGTATTTCTCTAATTATGGCTTTATTTAATTGCTGAGGATCTATGCAAATTCTTATGTCTTCACTATTTTTCTTAGAAGCTACTACCATGCGACTCACCCATTCAGTTGGTTCGTCTACTTTACAAATGACATTTTGTTTCTCTAACTCAGATAAATTGGATTTTACCTTCCTTTTAAGTTGAATTGGCACCCTACATGAAGATATAGCAAATGGCTTGACTTCTTTGTCTAAAGTCATATGTACCACCCCAGGTAACTTACCAATTTCATTACCAAACACATCTGAATATTCCTGAAAAACATCAGTATTACAAGATTCACTGTGTACAGAACATATGTTATCATAATTGATGGTAAGGAAACCCATCTGTTCTGATGCACGTTTGCCTAACAAAGGCATATAATTCTCAGCCACTATAATAAACTCAACATTATATCTCTTTGAATTTCTCTCATTTTCCACTTTAATTCTACATTTTCCAACTGGTTTGGCTGCAGAATTATTCCACATTTCTAGTTGTAGCCCTTCACTAGATTCAATTTTTACATTCTTGGGAACCATATTTCGAGGTAACACATTTACACCTGCTCCGCTATCGATTTGAAATTTGACACTATTTTCACCAACTTTCAGATCGGTATATAGATATTTGGATTTCTCTGACACTTTATTCACTTTCATCACTTGCTGTGTACAGGGATTATCACTTTTGTTCACCGTCGTTTCTTCTGACTCTCCACGTCTCGTCTGCAACTTGACACCTAGGAAATATTCGGCTGAAGTATCTGACTTGGAATCGTCACCGTCCACTGCATTCACACCCATCTTCTTAGATGCTTGTGCATGTCCATTTTTCTCCAAACACTGAGATTCGAAGTGATTCAGCCTGTTGCAGTAGTTGAATCTCTCTCTATAGGCTGGACATTTCTTCTTACTCCACACGTGTCTTGTTCCGCAGAACTTACATTTTCGTAGAGCCGGATCCTTCGTTGAAAAACTTTGGGTTGACTTAGGCCTATGCTGATTCTTGTTCACAAAACTTGGGTCCTCACTCTTTCGGTCTGCTGAATTTCTACTAGGCCTACTCTGCTTAAAGTTCTTTGTCGATTTAACTTTATTTATGACCGACTTTGCTGTATTTTCACTTTTTATTATTTGCATTTGTCTCTGCGATGCTTGATGTGCCTCACAAATTTTGAGCGTATCTATCAATGAAATACATTCTTCTCTCAGAAATTTCTCTCTGAGTTTATCTTCTTTACAGCCAAAAACTATTTGATCACAAATTGCCTCATCTTTTTCTGCTGCAAAATCACAATCCTTAACCATAGTTTTTATTCTAGTAATAAATTCATCCAGGTTCTCATCAGCTTTCTGAGTACAACATCTAAACCTATATCTTGACGCTATTATCAGCTTCCTAGGGGCAAAATGCTCATCTAGCTTCTGTAATACCATGCTTAAGTCCTTGCTAGGGTCATCACAAGATCCACTCTCCCCTACAATAACAGGACCAAACTCTATAGCATTATACACTCGAAGCAGTTCGTCACCCCCATGGGTCAAAAGTAATGCTACCTTCACTTCACTTGGCTTATCATTTAAACCTGCTGCCAGTATATACAGCTCGAATTTTTTATGAAAAAATCGCCAATCTTGCTCACTTTCGCTCTTTAATGCAAATTTATCTGGAGGGGCTAGATTAGCTGTCGCCATTCCGGTCGGTAGTCTTGCTTACTTAATCACACAGAAAGTTCCTGGATAATACACAATGCCTTATATTCAAAATGAAAAGCAAACCATACTTAGTCTATTGAGTGCTGCCACCATGTTTGATGCTCCTTAAATTTGGAGATATTTATAGATGAATTAGGCACAATAATATAGGAGACTGAAAGGGCATTATGAACAGTTCGTGTCTGCCCCCTAGTGGGCATCTTTATTACTTTCTATGTAAGCAAAACATGGATGCGTTCATTAACAAAATAACAATTATATCAAATATTGTAACAACTACAAACTACACCACAGTAGGTTAAAAGGAATTCAACCTTATAGCTTATATCTGCTATACTTAGGAATGAATGCATTCTATCTGAATGCCACTATGTGCATTTTACAGATTCCCCAATCTCACTCGTGGCTTTATTTTCGCATTTAATTCAACTCCCAATCTCATTCAG